TTTTTTTTGCTTTAGAGGTGGGGTCTCTCCATGTTGGCCAGGCTGGTCTCCAACTCCTGACTTCAGGTGATCTGCCCACCTCAGCCTCCCAAAGTTCTGGGATTACAGGCGTGAGCCACCGAGCCCAGCCTAGCATCTTAAAATTAAACATCCCATTCAGTTAACATTTATCCAGTTCCTACTTACACAAGGTGCTGTCTTGGCCATTGTTAACATTGGTACTTTTTGCTCAACTATTTAAAAATGTAAAATGCGGCCAGGTGCGGTGGCTCATGCCTGTAATCCAAGAACTTTGAGAGCCCAAGGCAGACAGATCACCTGAGGTCAGGAGTTCGAGACCAGCCTGGCCAACATAGTGAAACCCCATCTCTACTAAAAACAAAAATTAGCCAGGTGTGGTGACACACACCTGTAATCCCAGCTACTTGGGAGGTCGAGACAGGAGAATTGCTTGAACCTGGGAAGTGGAGGTTGCAGTGAGCTGATATCATGCCACTGCACTTTAGCTTGGGCAACAGAGTGGGACTCTGTCTCAAAAAAATAAAAACGTAAAATGCATTCTTAGCCACAAAAACAGGTGGAGGGGCCAGATTTGGCCACAGGTCAGAGTTTGCCAACTCTTGCACTAAAGTATTAGGTGAAAAGGCATTGTGTCAGCAGCTTACTGTCAAATAATTTGGGAAAAAGAAAGTTATTTGTACTGTACCTGCCACCTTTTGGTATTATTTAAAAATTAAATTTAGTATCATAAAAGAAGTAAAGGGAAGAAGTGGGTACATGGAACACAGGGTTGTCATGTTCAAGAATGGCAAAAAATGATGCCAGCTAAAGTTTGTTGAGCCTGGGACTCTGCCACTTTCTTTACACAGTGTGATTTATTTAATTCTCAACCATTTATGCAGTGAGGATTGTTCATTCTATTTTCCAGTTGAGGGATCATGTTCGGAGAGATGTAGTAACTTATCTGAAGTCACGTAGCTGTTAGTGACAAAGTTAGGATTTGAATCTAAGTCTTCTGACTCCAGATCCCTAATGTTCTAGCCTGTTATTTATTGCTTGCAAACTATAGTTGGTGATGGTAATTAGTATAGTCAACTACTATTTAAGACAAAATTAAATACTGATAAAAGTGGAAAAGGCTCTAGTAGGATAGGGGAATGAGAAATTGAAGAGCTAGGAAAGCTTGAAGGAGGTGGCATTTGAACTGTTTCTTTGAATAGAATTTCAATACTTGAGGTTGAGAAAACCCACAAAACACTTCTTAATTACAAAGGGAAAATGAGTAACTTTACCATGTTGCACCTGGCAAACTTTACTTTAATGAAGTGATCAAAGTTACCATTACCACTAATGGGGCAAATTGAAATCATGTATCACCTGATAGGAAATGCACGGAGAAGAACACAGCATCACTTCTATTATATTCCTATCCAAAACATGTAACCCGAACATCATCATAAGGTAACATCAGACAACCCCAAATCAAGGGACATCCGTAAGGATGTCAAGTCATGACAGTCCTTGGAAGGAAAGACTGAAGAACTATTGGAGATTGAAAGAGACTAAAGACATGGGCTGGGTGCGGTGTGGCTCACACCTGTAATCCCAGCACTTTGGAAAGCTGAGGCAAGTGGATCACCTGAGGTTAGGAGTTTGAGACCAGCCTGGCCAACATGGTAAAACCCTATTTATACTAATAATACAAAAATTAGCTGGGTGTGGTAGTGCACACCTGTAATCCCAGCTAATCCAGAGGCTGAGGCTGGAGAATCACTTGAACCCAGGAGGCAGAGGTTGCAGTGAGCTGAGATTGTGCCATTGCGCTCCAGCCTGGGCAAGAAGAACAAAACTCCATCTTAAAAAAAAACAGCAACACATGACAACCAAAGGCAAACATGATGATCCTGGATTGGATCCTTGGGCATGTAAGATATTGGAACAATTTGTAAAATTTGAATGGGATCTGTAAATTAGGCGGTAGTAATGTGTGAATATTAATTTTCTGATTTGGATGGTTGTATTGTGGTTATGTAGGAGAATATTCTCGTTTGTAGCAATCACACATGCTGAGGGAGAGGTTGGCAAACTTTTTCTATTAAGGACTGGGTAATATTTTAGGCTTTGTGAACCATATGGTTTCAGTCCCAACTACTCAACTCTGCTGTTACAGTGTGAAGGCAACTGTAGATGATGTAAATAAATATGCATGGCTGTTTTCCAATGAAGTTTTTTTTTTTTTTTGAGGTGGAGTCTCATTCTGTTTCCCAGGGTGGAGTGCAGCAGCACAATCTCATCTCACTGCAGCCTCCGCCTCCCGGGTTCAAGGGGTTCTACATCAGCTTCCAGAGTAGCTGGGATTACAGGCATGAGCCACCATACCCAGCTAATTTTTGTATTTTTAGTAGAGACGGGGTGTCACCAGGTTGGCCAGGCTGGTCTCAAACTCCTTAGTGATCTGCCCACCTCAGCCTCCCAAAGTGCTGGGATTACAAGTGTGAGCCACTGTGTCTGGCCTCCCAGTGAAACCTTTTTAATAGACACTGACGTTGGAATTCTTTATAATTAATTTTCATGTATCATTAAATATTTTTCTTTGTTTTTTTCTTTGAGATATTTTTTCTTTGAAATATTTTTCTTTGATTTTCTTTGATTCTTAGCTTGAGGGCCATGCAAAAACAGGTGGAGGGCCAGATTCGGCCACAGGCCAGAGTTTGCCCACTCTTACACTGACGTA